CGAGTTAAATTGAACAAATTTGGCATGTAAGTCTACTGAAAAAAATTACTTAAAATTTTTGCCTTTTATAATTCAGTAACTCCCCCCTGCTCCCCATCCCCAAATTACAGGATTTTCACAAAGGGTGGCGTTGAAAAATTTTCCTCTCCTTAGGGGGGCGGCAGCTTCAAAAAGGTTGAGAATCACTGGCCTAGACAATGGGAGAGTGTCTTAACTCCTATAGCAAGAGTGTCAATGGACTGTAAACTATGACTTATACAACAAAAAAATAATATTTAGAATTTACTGGATCCATTACATTTGTATAGAAAAAGATTGTCAAAAACAGCATTTTGTTGAAGATGCCTCTTTAAAATGTATGTTTTCACAATGTCCTATACTTACTAAGTTTTGGAAGAAAGTAGTGGACTATACAAACATGACTGTGGAACAAAAGCTAAAATTTTCAGAGGATAATATTCTTTTGAACTATATGCCTAGTACATGGAATTTGACATCTGGACAATGTAAGTGGATTCTCCGTGTCCTTACTATAGCCAAAAAACTGATATTGCAACATTAAAAAGATAAATGTATGGCCCCATTCACTCAATGGATTGAAGACCTGATTGCACTTGCCACTTATGAGTGGATTGCCTATAGGTGTAGACTTTGTATGGATAAGTACAGTGAAATATGGGACTCATTTTAACAAAATACAATAGGTTAAAAAAAATGACAGTCATATAAATGTATTATATGACTGTCCATGTATATCTCCATTGGGGAGAGATGGGCGGGGGGACAAATTTAATAAATAAATAAATAAATCTTGGAAATATATATGCATTTGAATAATATTTGCATTAGATAAACATATATAGATGTTTAACTATTGTATAATGGTATATTACACTAAGTTTTTATTTATTTATTTTTTGTTCTTGCATTTTTGTGACTTTTTTGTAATACCACCTTTTAATACCTCCTTCTTTTTGAATTATTTTTTCTTTTTTGTTATTAATTAAAAAGCAATAAAATTATATTTAAAAAGTTAAGAGTAAATCAGTATAAGTTATATCCATATATTTTTTTCTTCACATATTGTATAGCTTTCAGATTTCTGCATTTCACCTTGTTGTCTCTCTTAGCTTTCATACAGGATATGATCCATGATTAGGTCTATGACTGTAGGGGTGTAAATTCTAATCTAGTTACTAGGAAAGTTTGTTTTAGATGAGTTAGGTTGAACCAATAGCCCTATACATGTTGCACTGGCAATGCTGGGTAGGGAAGCTGGGAGTTATAGTTCAGCAACATCTGCAATGCAACAGCTTCCACACCTGGAGAATTTCATTCAAGTTAGTCTTACTCAAGATATGGAGAGTGAGTTTAAAAGCTAGAAGTTATTTGTAAATCTGTGAGATATCCAAACTGTATGCGTTGTCATGTTTTAGCGTTCCCCTCAATCATTCTATTAAGTCTTCCACAAGGAGTACTACTGCTAATAATAGCAGTTGACAACATTAACAATATAATAATAGCAATAGCAAGAATAATAACAGTATTTTACCATAGCTTCTTCAACTACTTCTTCAGATGCATTGCAGAAATGGAAGAACACCAGCAATGTCTGGACTTCTTCAAATCTGGTGATTTCTTGTTGAACCATTTTGTGCCTCACATATTTTAGTGCCGTTGAGGTACCCACAGCAGAAATTAAATCCAAAATGATGGCTCTGCAGAAAAAGGAGAAATCATGCCTGAACTGTCATTATTTGGATTTAAATATCCAATTATGCTTTTTAATAATAAAATAACTTCCTATATTATCTTACCTATGCACTGGCTGGCTAAAGTAGGGGTCAAACACTTCAGAATAATTGATTTCATTTTCTTTGCGCAAAAGGTTGACAAGATACACAAATCTTTTACCATCCTTTGGAAAATTTTCATCTGCCAGGTAACGCAATCCATCCTCAATCTGTTGGATAGGTTATTATTCTTTTGTTGTTGTTAGAAAAACAAAGCAACCCAAAACCCCAAAACTTTCAGATATTGTTTCATCATTGAATCAAGAATATTTACATGTAATCAAAAACCCATTTGCATTCTAACCTTTAAGCTTACCTCCTTGTTTAAGTTCTTGATTTTTGATAATGGAACAGGAAGTATAGCAAATCCACTCTTTTTAAAATTATATGAAAGTGACCCATATTTCTTCAAGTCAGAAGGTATTTGTGGCAAGCGGTTATGGGCTTCCAAGAATTCCATTTTCTGTCTAAAGAATAAAGATACAGTGAAATTAAGAGAAAACTAATTAGGAATACATTTCTGTTTGTGGTTTTGCCCTTAATTATCAACTGGTTTTTGTTTTGATAAAAATCAAAACAAAAATCTGGACACTTTGATAGTATTATTGGTCTAATCTTTTATTTCAAGTACTGCTTGATCTCTGGATCATAAAACTTTTTGAAACTTCAAAACTTTGATTCATACAACATTTATAATTTTAGTGTGCCTATAAATGAACTTCATTTCTCTCCTTTAAAAACTAATTCTGAGCCACATAATTAAGGTAAATTATTTCTGTGGGCCAGTTTTGTATTGTTTTATCTTAAATTATTGCTCAAAAAAGAAGTAGATATGGCATGCAATATATTGGACCATTATTATTATCCTGTAGTAATGAAAATCTCCAACCAATTCTTTCAACATCTAAAGTTGGTTGAATGAATAATTCTATATAATGTTATTAAAGTTTTTCAGGCCAATAGTGGGGGATGTTAACTTGTCATCTTTGATTCTGGACAGATGAAGTCAAAAATGACTCTTCTAATTTTACTGAGAATGCTTGTTATTAAATAGATAATGATATAGTAAATAAGCAAAATATTTCAGATTTATAGCATGATGCTCTTCGATAATTTGGGACATAAGAAATACAGTTCTAGAAACACAATGTTAAGGGATAAGGGTTAAGGGTATGTAACATGATACAATCATAAAATAAAGGCATTCATAATTTTGGAGCAATTATAACAGAGTTCTAAGACCTGGCCTCCATTATGACACTTTCTCCATTTTGTTCATCGAATGGTATGAATTGTTGGATTTCTTGAACATTGGCTTGCAGGATTAGTTTATCATTTCCTCCCTTCAAACCCTTAATTCTGTAGTTTGATGTGGCAGTGGCTTGAAAATTCCTATTTTTCTTTACAGAAAAAAAATAAAAATGTAATTAGAAGGCAATTTATGCAATAGAAGTGAGGAAATGACTACTTATACAATACAAATACAATAATTTTGTTTAAGTACAGTTAACAATAAGGATTGGCAACTGGCAAACTACATTCCATCCAGGACAAGGGAACCTCTGCTCTTTGTATGGCAAATTTAATTTCTATGTTGTCACTTGCTTGGACAAGTGAGGAATAAGAAAATGCCTTTTATCTGGTCTCCTTTTGTGTTATCTATTGTGATGGTCAACAGAAACAGTGTTCAACAAGATGGATAAAGAAAACCAATAAGCATGAATGGAATAAAACCCTCTTTCTGATGTACCCCAGTTACTGATATGGTGTCTTTAAGCCTTGTGTCTCTATATTGTGAAGAACATTATTACTGATGTTTAAGAAAAGGCAGTAGTGGGGACAAATAGTATGTAAAATATATTTTTGGTTCATCATAATTTTTTTGTGTGTTCTTTTTTTTAGGGATAGGCTTAGAATATGTAAAGAAAAAAAAAGTACATGAAAGAGAGACCCTGCTTGATTAAAATGTGTGGGTATCTTGAAAATGAAAATTAGTTTACTATTTTTGCACTAAAAACTGTTCACGTTTCTACATGTTTACATACTGATTGATTGATTATGTGCCATCAAGTCAGTGTCAAACTCTTGGTGACCCATAAATAGATCTTGTCCATGATGATCTATCCCAAACTGCCCTTCAAGTCTTGCAATGGGACAAATAGTATGTTCATCATCACTGTGGTCACTTGCATATATCTAACGTTAAAACTATGGCTTGGAATTGATTTTAGTAGAACTTATTTTCAAATTGGAACACTTCTTGTATAGATACACAGAAAACTTCATAGTTTGCAGAGCTTAGTCTAAAAGTCAATTAAATTTGAGACAACTTTCTTGTGTTCATAAGAGTAATTTCATATGGTAGTATTACTGCACTGTGTTAAATTATCTTAACCGAACTTACAGTTTAACGAAGTTTTGACTCCACTTTACAAGGAGGGTAGGGGAAGGTAACCTCTTTACATTGTATCTCCAGTTTACACTAATAACAAGCAATCCGTTTGTTCAATAGAACATTGAATATTGTAATATACATTGCAGGTGCAGAGTGAAAATGAAAGGGGAGTTGCTAGGACTGACTTTTGAGGTTAGTTAATCATATAAACATGCCTCTGTAATTTAATACACACAATATAGTTATCTTAAGACCTAGGCTTTCAATTTAAATAATATGTTTCTCATGAAAATATCTGCATGAATAACTTTCTCAGGATGCCAGTAATGTTCATGTTTGATTAGAGAAAAGACAATATCTACATTTATTGCTGACTGGAGACCCCTTATGGACTTTTTGCGTAAAACAGGAAAAAATGAATTTATGATCTATGATTTTGACAATTAGGATAGATTATAGAAAGAAGAGAGTCATGGTGTAACTTTAGAGAAAGAGGTAAAGCTACAATTATAACTGCTGTAAAGAAGATTGGAAGCGACTACTCTATTTTAGTTTGTATTAATTTTTACTCTTGTTTTTAAAACTTTCAATAAAAAATATATTTTAAAAAAAGGCTGCCAGTAATATTTAATTCACACAATTACTTTGGCTCTCTCTCTTTTGCAATTTGTGACTGCATGTTAAAAATGGGTCAAACAATGTGGTGAATCACAGCAACCAAAGTCTGTTAACAGGGCAGTTATGGAACTGTGTGCAAATAAATAACAATGAATCTGCTTGCATATATGAAATGGCTTATATCATTTATATCTAAGTATTTCTCAACAAATTAAACTTTTACAATGGCAGTTATCTATGTTAACAGTAAGAGAAATGGAAATAAAAATGAACAGCGTAAAGCAAAAAAACTTTGAGTTTGCAAACAAACCAGGGAAATGGTTGGCATATAAATTACAAAAGGAAAAAGAAAAGAAAATGATATTGAAACTACAAGAGGGAGATACTGTATTAGCAGATAGCGTGGCCATGCAAAAAGTATTTCATCAGTAATATTCTAACTTGTATAAAGCAAGTGACATCTCTCAGGAGAAAATACAGTAGATGAATACCTAAAGAAACAAAATTTACCCGGGATTACAGAGGAACTGAAACAGATTATGAATGGACTTATAACAATAAGGGAAGTTTCTGAAACTATAAAAAGATTAAACCAGGAAAGGTCCCTGGACCATGTGGATTATCAGGTTCTTATTATAAATGGTTTGAGGATGAACTTTTACAACCTTTACAAAACACGGTGAACTCTATCTTACAGGGAGGAAAGATGCCAGAGACCTGGAAAGAAGCCAATATAGCACTAATACCTAAAGAGGGACAAGATTTGATTTTAACAAGAAACTATAGGCTGATATCATTATTGAATAATGACTACCAATTGTTCACAACAATTCTAGCTGACAGACTGAAAATAATTTTGCAAGAATTTATTCATGAGGATCAATGTGGGTTTTTACCTAAAAGTCAGTTAAAGGATAATCTTAGGAATGTGCTGGACATTTTGGAGTATTTGGAGCAATGTAATTAAAAACAAGCTGCAATGATTTTCTTAGATGCGGAGAAGGCCTTTGACAATTTGAACTGGGCTTTCCTGTTCAAAGTTTTGGACGATACGAACTTTGGAGAGAACTTTATAAAAAGGGTGAGATCAATTTATACTTCACAGAAAGCACAAATAATTGTTAATGAAGATCTAACAAAGCCTTGTGAGATACAAAAAGGAAGAAGATAGGGATGCCCACTGTCCCCTCTCTTGTTTATTTTGGTTCTTGAATAACTGAATAGGGAGATAAGACAAGAATTGTGGGAGTAAAGATTAAAAAAGGAACTTATAAGTTAAGGGCTTTTGCAGATGACTTGGTGTTGGTTTTGGAAGATCCTTTAAAGGGAATTGAAACATTAATGGGAAAACAAAAAGAATTTGGTACATTAGCAGGGTTTAAGATTAACAAACATAAGTCAAAGATGTTAACAAAAACCATGAAAATAGAAGATGAAACAGAATTGCTGAATAAAATGGGTTTTAAGATGGAGAAGAAAGTAAAATATCTGGGTATCACTATGACATATATGAATTGTATGTTATTTCAAAATAACTATGTTAAGACATGGAATGAAGTTTAAAAAGATGTGTTAAGATGGGAGAAACTACAATTATCATTGCTGGGAAGAATTTCTGTGATAAAAATGAATGTCCTGACTAGAATGATGTTTTTGTTTCAGACAATACCAATATTGACAACTGATGCACCATTTAAACAGTGGCAAAAGAATATATCTAAATCTGTGTGGCAGGGGAAAAAACATGAGTTAAATATAAGGTGTTACAGGATACAAAGGAAAGAGGAGGATTGGGTTTACCTGATTTGAAATTGTATTTTACAGCTTGCTGTTTGGTTTGGATTAAAGAGTGGGTGCTGCTGAGAAATAGAAGACTTTTGGAGTTAGAAGAACATGATCTGAGATTTGGGTAGCATGGGCATCTGTGGTATGACAAAGTTAAGATTAATGTGGATTTTAAAAATCATTATGTTAGACATGCCATATTGAGAATATGGAATAGTTACAAATCCAGGTTGTGCCTGAAAACACCCTCGTGGCTCTCAGCACAAGAAACATTTTCTAGACGAGAAATGATAGGCAAACCCAAATGGTTAACTTACCATGAAATACTAGAATTTTGTCAAGGGGAATACAAAATAAAATCAAAAGAAGAACTGGTGACAGAGGGACAAGAAACCAATGGTTTTCTTATTTATAGTTATTAAAAAGATTTCAAGTAGACAAAAGGGGTAATGGTTTTGAACATTGTAAGACCTGAGGTTGAAATGTAATTATATACAAATGATGAACATGTAATTGCTAAAATGTATAAACTTCTGTTGAAGTTTGAAACTGAAGAAGAATAAGTAAACAGGTGTATGATAAAGTGGGCTAATTTTTTTGGCTATAATATACAGAGGGAAAAATGGGAAAATATGTGGTTGAAAGGATTGAAATTTACACTATGTTATAATCAGTAAACAGGTGTATGATAAAGTGGGCTAATTTTTTTGGCTATAATATACAGAGGGAAAAATGGGAAAATATGTGGTTGAAAGGATTGAAATTTACACTATGTTATAATCTTAAAGAGAATGTTTATAAAATGATGTACTGTTGGTATATGTCACTGGAGAAACTGTCTAGAATGTACAAAGGCACTTCAAATTCATATTGGAAATGTGAACAACAAGAAGGGACATTTTATTATGCTTGGTGGATGTATAAAAAAGCTAGAAAATTTTGGATTCAAATGCATACACTGATTCAGAGGATTTTAAAGATTAATATATAGTTAAGACCAGAGATCTTTCTCTTGGGACTGATGGACAAATAGTTGGGTTAAAATCATGGAACTTCGTTTTTGTATACAATGACTTTGTATACTTTGTATACAATGACTTTGTGTACATCTTTGTGCATACAATGCAGTGAGATAATTGTATGCACAAAGATGGAAAGATTTGGCAATACCTACAATGGAGGAATGGTTGGTGAAGATGAGGGAAGTCATTGAGATAGCCAATTGACTACTTTGATTAGAGAAAAGACAATATTTACGTTTATTGCTGACTGGAAACCTCTTATGGACTTTTTGTGGAAAACAGAAAAAAAATGAACTTATGATTTATAGTTTTGAAGTTTAGAGAGGGTAGGATATAGAAAGGAGAGAAACAGTGTAATTTTAGATAAAGAAGTAAATTTATAATTGTACTTATAACTGCTGTAAAAAAGATTGGAAGCCACTTCTTTGTATCTTTTTTTGTTTCTTTTCTATTTTTCTTTAACTGTTTTTCCTTTCTTGCACTTTTAACTTTCTCTTTGATTCTTTTCTTTTTCTTTTTTCTTCTTTATATTAGTTTGTATCAGTTTTTATCTTCCTTTTTAAAACTTTTAATAAAATTATAATATTGCTTTGTGAGATGGGTGGCTATATAAATGTGATGTGTATAT